CTGCTGGCCAGGATTTCTGGGAGTTGAAGGCCAAGAACATCTGGAGGGCCACAGTTCGACACCACTGTTCTAGACTGTCACCTACTTTTAACAGCAGTTTTTTAATCTTTGGTACCCTTTAAATACCTTAGTACCCTTTTTACTCCATTCTAGGATTTCCTTCATCCTCTCAGCCTATAGCAGAGGTTCCTAAACTGTGAGCTGCAGCTCTGTGGGGCTCCCGGGTTCAGAGCCAGAGGAGTCATTGGAAAAGGGGTGGAACATAGAGGTATGAAGGCTGTAGAGGAGCTGTTCATAGCTCTATGTCAAATAGGAACTGGAAATTGAAGTCCATGTGCCAGCCCTTCCTTGCCTCATCTCTATAGCCCCTGGTGGAGGCACTTGCCGGTTGGTTTTGTGAGCTTCCTGTGTCAAGACCTGGAAAGGAGGTGAGCCCTCAGAGATATTCAGGGGGAAGGAAGGAGAGATGAGATGGATTAGGAGGGTGTCAAGATCCTGCCCCTGGTGGCAGTGAGACCCCTGATGGCCCTTCTGAGCAAAGGGAGTAGCAACCAGTGGTCAATAAATCAAGGGAGTCACAAGTCCAACTACTGTCCAAGACTTTAAAAGATGAATTTATTATGACAATCTTTAGAAATCTGTTCTGAGACTTCTTTGGGATATAAAATTAAATCACTACGTAATATAGAAATAAAATCAGATTTGCCAGAAAAAAATAGGCAATATGTTAGTTCTTTAGGAGCTGGGTAATAATTCTTTAGGAGCTGGGTAATAATGAGCAATGATACAGATGTTTCCATTCCTACCTGACTAAGTCTTCTGTCCTGTCGCATCATGTAATGGAATTATACAAATTTCCATTATCTTCAACTATGGGGATTTTCAATAAAAATGTAATCAGCAATCTGAAGCTATAATTTCCCTTTCCCTTTTCCAATGAATCTAGGCGACTGTGAACACTGTCAGGCAATAGGCCAGGTAGCAACCAAAATACTCACGCCACACAAGATAAGGTATTGGTGACTAACAATAGAGTTGACTAGTGCATGTACTGGATGTTCCTGCACTCATTCCAAAAGATAAGGTCCACAGCGGAAAAGTGTTACTAGACCAACCTTTCTGACCCTCAGCAGAAATTACTTTTAACTACATTTGGCTGGTATGCAAACTGCAACCTTTCTTGACCATAATTATCCTGGTCGTATCTAGGTCAGATGAACATAAGACACTGTAAGAGGGCACAACTACGCAGACAGTTCGGCGGAAACTTCAACTGGTTTATCGTTCAGTTGTGAGGTTTTTAACTGAAACATCTAGAAGTCTGATTGCATTGTTACTATTCAAAGAATTTCACTGGTTACCCAATGATTTTTAGACACAATTAAAAGTGGTTGTTGTGGGTTTTTCAGGCTCTTTGGCCGTGTTCTGAAGGTTGTTCTTCCTAACGTGTTGCCAGTCTCTGTGGCCGGTGAAACGTTAAGAAGAACAACCTTCAGAACACGGCCAAAGAGCCCGAAAAACCCACAGCAACCATTAGATCCCGGCCGTGAAAGCCTTCGCGAATATACAATTCAAAGTGTTGGCTTTGACCTTAAAAGGAAAAAAACCCGTAATATCTAAGGAATAGGAGGCCAACAGGTTATCTGTAGCCTCCTATTCCTTAGCTATTAAGGTTCCTAAATGGAACAGCCTTTCGGTAACATTACCACAGGAGGGTGACTTCAGGCATCCTTACAACTAGAGCTGAGGAGCTGTCAGGGACTGAACATTTTCAGCAGTATTCCCTGAGCTATGGAACTCTGCATCTGTTCACCTGACACCAAGGCTAAGGCTTTTATGCAGTTCTCTTTTCCAAGCTGCTTATGGTTTTAATGGCCTTTGATGATTTTAGCACTGCTTTTAACTGCTGCCGTTATTTTTACTGCTATTGCATTAGGGTTGATTTATTATGTGAGGCTGAAGTAGCAACAGAAGCTTTGCATACACATCTAACAAACAAAGCCACTCCCAGTTAAGGAAATGTTCAAAGGACTGTAAACTTGTATGCACAGCAACAAACCCAAGAGCACCTGGAAGTTTGCCCAAACTAAGTAAGAATTCCCTCGGGGCAAATAACTTGTCAGCACTATTATTTATGCTCCCCCCATGAAACATCATTGCATGACTATAGGGGGCAAGTTAAGATTTTAATTTATTTTTTGTGCAACTATCCTTTTGTAAATTTTAAGATGCTGGTTTTGCCAGCACTAAAAACAATCATAAGCATTTTTTTTATTCCTTTAGAAGCACATGAAAATGATGCCAAAAATGTAGCAATATATCATCATCTCCTATCTGCTAAAACTCAGCAGAAGTGCTCCTGTTCACAGGTCTAGGGTTTGGCTGTCACCCATGCCCTTCTCCAGCAAGCCACCGCATCCTGACTCGTCTTCTCAATCGCTTCTTCACAGATAGTCAGTATTCTGCATGTAATCCTAAAGAGGCTGTTTGTGATGTCTGTTAAGTTTTCTAAAACACGCTTTTGCCAGTTTTGCAACTGCAACAAGCACGCAGACAACCACCCTCTTCTTTCTCACTAGTCTCAGCGTTGGCTACAGTCCTGCTGGCACTCACGATGGAACATCTGTATGGGAGGTATAGATATCAAGCAACATTCTGGAAAGACATATTGAATTACAGCACAAATCGCATTGTCCATTTTTGGCATTCACTGCAACCCATTTGAAGCCTCTAGGATTGAGCAGGATAAAACCCCGAAGAAATCCAAATGACATGGTGAACTTGTGTTCAATATGTTTATATGCTTCTGGTCTCCAGAAGGAAATGTGTCTGAGTTATAAAGACGGGACACAACTATCCATATATTTCTTTAGAAGGACACAATTTAATTTTCCAGGTTTGTTTATAGCCCATGCAGATGTCACTTGATTACTTGTCAACTTACTTAGCCTGTTTGCAGCCTCAAGAGCTTCACTGGCAGTGTCAGCTACAAAGAATCTCTGAACTGTGACCCCGTGATCAGCCATCAGCTTCTTACTCTGGTATTCCTGCAGGTTTAGCCATCGCCTGGGGGCCCATTGAACAGCCTGCAGAAATGAAATGGTGGGGGAGAGAAAAATCATAAGGTTCATTATCAACAGTTCACGCAATAATAAACTGAGCTATTAAACCTCATAGTTATGGTCACCTGCATCTAGCCACAAAAAAACTCAAGAGAATATTTAATATTTTCAACAAAGCATATTAGCTGGATGTTTATGAGCAAAATCCTCTAAAAACCTGGAAGATATTAAAATACCACCACCATATAATAGTACTCATTATTATGGCTATTTTACACAAGCAATCTTGCTACTTAATAGCACACCTGGAAAAAAAAACTCATTGTATATATTTATGATTTTCCTGTTCCATACTCCTAGAAGACAAAAACTCCAATACCAAGCTACTAGACAAGATTGCAGTTATTGTTCATGCTTCTCTGCCAGAAAGTTTTATTCCTAGATCTACTCTTGTGTAACTCTAAGATTTTAGCCTCAGTAAATTATTGGTGTGCTATATTTTCCACAATTCTCACTCTAATTTTAAGCTTTAGGTCTTTAGTAGCCAGCTACTGAGATTTAATTTTTCATAGATGGTGGTGGGGGCAAGGATCAGGTATTACAAGCTGCTGGTGGCTTTATCCACATCCTCAGGGCGTCATCAACTGTAGTAATAATGCTCTTCTCTCTGCCACAAATAGGATGGCATCAAGTTCAGGGCAAATATGAGCAATGTTATCATTAAAGGTTTTAGCAAACTGGCACATCATGTCTTCAATAATCCCAGTACCAGTACAACCACATTTGAATAGCACAACTAGGAGCCATGAAAACTCTGTTGAGGATGCAATGGAGGTAGAGAAGTACAACTGGTTCATCATCAACATTAAGACAAAACAGATACAGCTGTGTCTGATCACATTACTACAAGATATGCATCCCTAGTCATGTGTTTCATGGCCCCAGTAAGTGTATCTAGCCCTCTATTAGCAACCCTATTGCCACTCCAGATGAAATCTAATCCTATCACACCATCAAATGAGCCTCATTTGTGCCTTATTGCATTATATCATGAGATGTAGACTGCAGGATTTTAAGATGAAGTCTTCTGCCCACTCTTCCTCTGCTAATTTTCCTCTCTCTGCCTTTTTAAACTTCTTGTCTGATGAAGATACCCAAAGATCTTGAACACAGAGGGATTTGTAAAATCAAGCTGGTAAAGGTCATGATACAATATCTGAATGCATCCCCTTTGTCACTGAGCTGTGAGTTAGGTGATTTGATCATAGCTACTGGAGTACCATGGACTGCAAGGAGAACAAACCTATCCATTCTAAAGGAAATCAACCCTGACTGCTCACTGGAAGGACAGATCCTGAAGCTGAGGCTCCAGTACTTTGGCCATCTCATGAGAAGAGAAGACTCTCTGGAAAAGACCCTGATGTTGGGAAAGTGTGAGGGCAAGAGGAGAAGGGGACAACAGTGGATGAGATGGTTGGACAGTGTCATCGAAGCCACCAACATGAATTTGGCCCAGCTCCGGGAGGCAGTAGAAGACAGGTTGGCCTGGCATGCTCTGGTCCATGGGGTCAAGAAGAGTTGGGCATGACTAAACGACTAAACAACAACAACAACAACAACAACAACAACAACAACAACAACAACACTGGAGTACCATAACTAAGGACCTAACAGTGAATTACAGATAATGCATTGATGTACTGTTTGTTCTACTTGCAGGCCAAAGTGTAGGCAACTGAATGCCGAAAATATATTGTATATACTCCATTATAAGCCGACCCAAATATAAGCCGAGGCACCCAATTTTACCACAAAAAACTGGGAAAACTTATTGACTCGAGTATAAGCCGAGGGTGGAAAATGCAGCAGCTATTGGTAAATTTCAAAAATAAAAATAGATACCAATAAAATTACATTAATGGAGGGAGACGGAGGATGGAAGAGAAAGGTGGGAGGAGGAAGGTGGGTATATAGAATATGCAGAAGCAAGAGGATGGGAGTGTCCTTGGAAGCGGAAATGCAGTGTACTTAACCCGGATCATCGGACCATCCACAGAGGCTGCAGGCACCCGTAGATGAGCAGAGGAGTCTGGAGAACACCCACACTGCAGGGGAGAACATGTAATTTTGACACTGACTCAAATATAAGCTGAGGGGGTGCTTTTTCAGCAAAAAAAAATGTGCTGAAAAACTAGGCTTATACGCGAGTATATACAGTACTCTCTTATTGACTAGCACTAAAAAAAAGCCTGCTACCAGTCTCATTTGCTCATTCGTTCTTAAACCTTGTGACAGGTACCCACAGGTTCATGCACTTGCTCTCCAACATATTATCAGTGTTAGCTCTTTCCTGTATCATTTCCTCCCTTGCATTATCTTCATATGCATAATCAATTATGAGAAGGATCTTCCTCACAATGAGCTTCCATATGTAAGTGCAAGTTAATAGCACTGAGAAGATGCTCTAAACAACTCTAGCATTGTTGCGATTGTATTATATGAAAGACATTCTACTTATGTAGAGAAAAACTATCCACCTGACAGCTAATCTACTAGAATCAAACAGCTGTTCACAAAGTCAAACCACTGTAGGCAGACTAGAGTCAAAACAGCTGAGACAAAACAGATCTCTTAATAATTTTTCTGAAATATTAAAGCTTTGTATTGAAAACTACCATCAATGCACATTTACTGTCACTGCTTCCTTTGCAACTTGACATTGTGGAAAATAAGCATTAAAAGCCACTATCTCTTTCCTCATATCCAAACTAAAAGACAGGTAACTATCATGAGGTTGCAATAGATAGGCTTTCCTTTAAAAGCTAAGTAACAAAACCTGTCAAGAATAGTACTGTATCTTGAATCTTTTTGCAATGAATTGATATTTAAATAGCAGGATTGCTTCGAACAGTGAATCTTCACTATCTGCACACACCACTTTCTTGGTTAGGTTGGATGCACAGTCATGTAACAACTTCTTTGAATTCTACAGTTTTACATATCAGGGGACATGAAAATGTCAGTACCAATTTCCGGGCACTAAAGTCATCCCCCTCTTTCCAAATGCTTGCAAAATCTTCCCCAGATTAAGAGATACCAAGGAAGGCTCAGAACCTTGGGGGGGGGGGAGGAAACTTTTAATGAGTGATATCATCAGCTTGTATGGGTGTAACTTTATGCACAATAATTTTGGTCAGTCTTTTCTGACTTAATTCACCATTGCTACTCATTATGGCTGAATTAGGAAGCTGCTGCTACTGGAATAAGAACAGATCATAATCTTAACTTCAAAACATGGTTTTAAATTGTGATGTGTTCTGGATCTTCATAACCAATATTTTTCATTACGTAAGCAAGCAATGCCATCCCAAATTTAACAGGAGGCACCTCCCCTTACTCTACTTTCCAACCTTGGATACCCAAGTCTTTTTGGACTGCAATTCCCAGAAGCCTTCACCACCAGCTATGCTGGCCGGGGTTTCTGGGTGTTTCAGTCCAAGAACACTTGGGTTACCCAAGGTTGGGAACCACTGGTTTAGGAGACGCCTATGCTACAAAACAATTGTTTCCTGGTGAGGTAACTGTGGCTAATTAAGCAAGGAGCTGTTGAATCATAGCCTGCCAAGAAAGGAGACGTAAAGGGTCCTTGTGAGGATGGAGAGCACAGATGAAAAGCTCAGTTTAATAAACAGAGATACATACAGTCCAACTAGACCACTGATATTGAACAGAGAAACAGTCACCACCCCTCTTGTTGCCAATGTGTAGACTCAGTTGCTGAGCAGATGAGGATGGATTACCCACTGACATATGGCATCACATGTAATATTTTGTGGGCAAACAGAAGGGGAATTCATAACAGGGTATGCAATCTAAATGCATGAGATACTTCCAACCTTTGCTGGTACCAGGACCTGAGCAGAAAAGATTGTTATAAGAGCTACAGATCCACAAATTCTGCTGGGTCTTGATAGGCAGTAAGTATTTCTGAATCTCTTCTTGAAGACTATACTGAGCTGTGGAGGTACGCTTCTTTAAAGTGGAGGACAACATCAGGAATGCTCATCAGATGGATCACTTCCATTTGTTGAATTTCGTTGTATGGGTATACTATGTATATACTTACAATGACAATAAATTTATTTATTTATTTTATTCCAGTTCCAAACTCATGTGCATGACTAACATTTGCCCATGTCTTGCTGGGTTTCCAGGGTACACAAGATACAATTCAGATTAACCCTAAAGCTACGTTGAAATTTAGAGCTAGGAAGGGAGGAGCATATGTCCAACTCTGTGCCTTATTTCAAATACACAGAGACCAGAACAATGAGTGGGCAGTCAGTGGGGGGTGGAGGGTGCTTAGACTATGATATGAACATTGTCACTACAGTTGCATCACAAAGGAAACTGCTTTGTTAAGTTACAACCATAATGTAATGCAGTTACAATTTATTTATTGGGAAGGGTTTTAAATTGCAGGTAACTATTTATATGTACAGTGGTGCCTCACATAGCAAGGTTAATCCATTCCGGATTAACCCTCGCTATGTGAAAACATTGCTGTATGGAGCGGGGAAAGCCATTGGAATGCATTAAACTTAGTTTAATGCGTTCCAATAGGCGCCAAAACTCACCGTTCAGCGAAGTTTTCCCATAGCTGGCAGCCATTTTCGCGCCCTTGGTAAGCGAGGGGAGGGCGCGAAAACGCTGCGGGCGGCCATTTCGGGGCTTCCAGTGGCCATTTTGGAGCCGCGGAACAGCTGCTTGTCGGGCGTCGCTATGCGGGTTTCGCCCATAGGGGCCATCGGTATGCGATCGCATAACCCTAATTGCTATGCGATTTCGTCGTTATACGGTGCGCTCGTTAAGCGAGGCACCACTGTAACTGATTACCACAAATCTTCAGGGAAGCCCATACATATACTGACTCTTACAAGCAATCTACTTCTCCATCAGAGATAAAAAGCATTTGGACAAAGTAGAGCACAAAGGCCAGTTGCTAATCAGCTTGTTGTGTCTTA